GTGAGAGGCAGGAAGAACACATCAGCTGGGGAGGAAAAAAAAAAAAGAAGGAAAAAGAAAAGATTCCCGAGTACCTACCCAAGGAGTAGAGTATATGCAATGGGGTATATGTGAAGGGGTTAAAACACTACACAGGTACAGATCCTGTGGCAATTACAAATGTTATTGAAATAAAAACCAGAAACAGGAAGCCAAAAAACAGGTCCCTAAGGCAGGCATCTGTCTTAAATGATATCATTTGTCAAGTTTCCAGCATCTTGTGGTTGTGAACACAAAAAGAAGTTCTGTGTTATACTAAGGACATTACATACTCATTAGTTGGAATGTTCCTGAAGTACATAATACAGGATTTTCATTTAATAAGAAGCAGCTACTTGCCACTGCGTTGTACATAAAATAAATTCTGGGCATGCTAATTGCCATTCAAGGATGTTCTACCTAATTTTTGACAGGTTTTTCTTCCCCTCCCCCGTTAGACTACACTGTAAAAATTGTGAGCAGAATGCACTGCTATAGTTTAAAAATCTTTTTAGAATATTTTCTTATTTCTGAAGTCTGGATTCCTGCAGTGATGAATATTGAAGGCTTTAATGTAGATATTAAAGAGAGAAGAAAAACAAGTTACCTACAGGAATATTGTAGCAAGACAGGGAGTAGCAAGAAAGCAAAATACATATATACACACACACACACACACAGACGTACGTATCTCAGCACAATATCTCTTCAAGTCATCACCCCCCATCTTGAAGAACAAACCTAACTGTAATTAATTGGTATAGTTCCTCTATCTGAACACTATTAGTGCATTAGAGTTAACTAATATATAAGCTTCCCCCTCGCTGCCCTGCCAATGACCTTAAGCTTCACATGGTAAGAAGGCCACTTGCTGTAGAATAGAAAAGTAATTTATCCACCATGATTGTTCAGCCCTGGCCCCTCTGTAAAACAGCGACTGACAATTGTGCTGTATTATGGATGGTACGTTTGTGGTGTGTACAATAGTGCGCAGAGCATCAAACTCACTTCCCTGAGCACTGCAGGCAGGGTTTGAAAAGTGATCCTGGAAAGCAGAGACCACTTGCTGAGCGATGGCCCTTCATTTTCAAATCTTTTTTTTTCCCTCCAAATATCTCCACCCTCTTTTTTTTTGCCCCAAAGAGAGACCAATATTGTTTTCTCAGCTTAAGTAAGTGCAGTATGTAATTTTCCATTCATAAAAGTATGGCGTATTTAAAAGGAAAAAAAAAAAAAAAAGGTTACTTTGCTTTTATTTTACCTGGGATTTCCCTGCTTCTTTCCACATTTCAGGATTTAGCATATTCCCTCAAAACATAATAAATTTCGATTCTGTAGCTTAAGGGATCCATCAGTTAAAATGTTAGTCTTTCATCTTTATTACCCTCCCATTAAAATGAAAGAAACCGGGACACACTTCAGTTTAGAAGAAGCAATTTAGTTGGTAATGTCCTTACTACTCAAGTCTTTACAAAGAGAGAAAGTGCATTATTGCTTATATTTCACACATCTATCTGCATAAGAAGCAACTAAAGCTTTCAGACACATACGATGTTAAATTTAATAATATTCTTTGATTAGATTATTTTATTACAACATTTTTCCATTACCAGTCATTTCCCGTACACATTTACATTCATAAAACCTGCAGGTTTTTCTTTGTTTGTGTGTGTGTATATGTATTCATAAAGCAAGGGAAAGATTTTCTGGTTTGCTACAGCTGTTAGATTCGAAAAGAACAGATTAATAACTAGCCACCACGTAGGACTAGGTTTTCTTGTACACTGCACCAGTAACCCTTTGCTATAATGAGGACACAAAGAGGCTCACATCAGGCTGCTCCTCTTCTTCATAACTCAAAAGCGTCACAGTGGCAATAGCCTCTAGTGCTATTTGTCTTTAGTGCAGTTGTGACACTTCGGCATGATCCATAATTTGGCAGCTATTTACCGTGACATTTCCCTTCGGGCCAGCCATAACATTCAGTGAAGCCATTATTTGGTTCCATTTACCATATAAATTGTATTGTTGTGCATGCATGCTAGCAGCTACATTAGGTACCTGAAAATGAGTAAATCTTGTAAAATAGATACTAACAGTTATTCAGCAGAGAAATTTCTTTACTCCTCAGACAGAAGTAGGAATATATACATCTGCAAACACTACTGCAAACTTTTCCTTGAGAGACTGTAATTATATGTATTTACATGACACAGCAGTTATTCATATCCGCTTATTAAATATATACATTTTATATATATATATAACACATACACACACATATGCGCACGTACAAATATATAGTGAACTATTGCTTGGTAGAAATCTAACTTAACTCAGAAAGGTATTAGGAGATTCCAGCATAGCAATTAAGTAGGAAGCATATCTGTGAAATGTGCTGAGGGTTGCAGGCCAGGAGAGAGTGAGTACGTGTGTGTCCGTGTGCGCGTGCGTATGCACACATGTGACAGACTCAGGAAAAAAGCCAGCTCTTCATCTAGTTCTTTGTTGTTTTTCCATGGAAGCATATGTGTGTAGGAAAGGGAAATTCTGTTATTAGCCTCGGCAAACAATGCCAGATTCCTCTGCAGCAAATTCATTTAGAAAGGTAAAATTAGGATGTAGTGCTAGCAACCACATCTCAATGAGCTGCTATTATTAATAGTATTATTATTTAAATCCCTGCTCTCTACATATAGTATACTTAGTACTTCCCAGGCAAATGTATTATTATTTTTAATCATTTAAGTCCCCACTGTGCACACAGCTTTTAATACACCTTTTTTGCAAGCATATTAAGTGTATTGTTATTAATCCCTTGCTGTGACTCTACAGTATTTCTTTTCCTTGTATGTTCAATGTCCTATCATCATTTAAACCTCTCAGTGTGTGCATGCCATATACATTTTCCTATCCATCTAATATTTAAACATTATTTAAAGCCATCACAGCTTACTTATTCAAAGTCAACCCTGCTCCCATAACCGTAAGTTTGCAGAATATACTTTTAAATAACGAGAAGTTGGCTTTCCCCGGCCTGCAAACTAAAAATTAGTATGAATCTCGGCAAGAAAAGCCTTATCTGCCTGATCTGAAAAGCTTATACTTTTCACCCTCTCCCCGTCAATAATGCTCTCTGTCAGCAATCTAAATGATAGAGGTTGTATCTTTAAAAACAGAAATCACTTCTTCATTCTGGATTCGTTCATGGAAGAGCAATCACGTAGACCCTGAGTTACCCCTTTAGCTTAACATAGGCATTTGATGAAAAGGACAAGCCCAATGGCCATAGTGCAACCCAAACACCAAAAGGGCTACAAAATTAGTACACTGGCCATACAAGTTCTGCATATAACAAATCTAAACTTTTTATTAATGCTGTAATCAGTATGAAAGTGCTAAATAATAAGCCTGAAGCCAAAATTAAAACCAGCAAAATGTCATATCTGAATATAGATATATGTGAACCTTCCAAAGGTTCCTCTCTTCCCTTATTTTGACCAGTGTAAGAGCCCGGGGCAGTTGCATTACTCAACGTTACATATGAACTAACATATTAAAAAGAAAGTGGAACGCTGTATGCCCAAACAGAATCCTGTTACAAGAAGAAACTTTTATGACAAAAACACTACCTCAGAAACACCCAAATGTATTGGACTGGCAGTGACCAACACCTCTGAAAATTGGGCCACTTGGATGGGTTTTGGCATTTGACTGTAGGAACTTAATTTGAAAAATTGTTACCCATGCAACCCTTCTGTGTGTATCACAAATGTAACCAACTATTTTTTCTACTTTTTATTTTGGCCTAGTACATCCCAAACAGACCCCTTTTTTTAAGATGCATTTATTGACCAAGGGCACTGACTTTTCTCTGAACGAGAAAAGAAACCACGTGCCTAGGAATAAAATAGTGAGAACTTTGTATGCTCTGATCTTGTATGGTACCATGTTTGCATCTTTCTAGCATCCAGTTGGAAGGCTGATATACCTTTCCAGTCATGCAAAACACACAAAACACCACAGTATTTGTAATATTAGAGGGAGAAGAGGAAGTATGTTTCTAACAGCAGATCTTGGTGAAAACAAAAATCATAGTGGTTTGATGCTCAGCTTGAGTAAAAGAGAAATGGTAGCAGAGACTCAAGCCATTCTGCCTTTCCCCAAAATCCTCCAAAGTGGGACTAAACCCAGTAGTCAGATATAGCCCAAAAAAGGGACAGTTCTTTGTTGCACACAATTCTTTAGGATACTAATGACATATGCACTAAAAAATTGCAATAATAATGTGCTAAATCAAAGTTACAAATACTTTTTCCACTGCCTGCACTACTGAGTAAAAGATAAGGTTTTCCTACATGTTACTTTTAAAAATGTCGTGTACAGTCAGTCCTGAATAATGCCCCAAAATTACGTTTGCCCTGAATTTTTTCCTTCAACCCGTAGACTTTATCAGTCTATCATTACATTTATTATTAGGTGTACGATCATAGGAAATTTCCATTTCTCCAACTGCATACAAATTTATATAATTTCAAAAGATGTGGCAAAATCAGCCTTTAAGATCTTAAACACTTGCTACGGAAAAAAGATGTAGAGCAAGCATAGTTTAAAGTATTTTATTGTTCTGGAAAATATTACACATCTAGCGGGAATTCCCACTGTATGTACCGTTAATAGTATCTATTAAGCGAGGAAGAATTTTCAAAACTTTACAAAACCTTTTAACTGCACCTACTTGATAATCTATGGCTTAGCATCAGTACGTACGAGGTAGTCTGACTGTAGATTTAAAATGATCTTGCTGTTTGTAAAAGGGCTTCTGCAGAAGCAATATTCGGTAAAAGTAGAAGCAGCAGCCTGATTATGGGAAGTCACAACAAGAATCATCGGTCAAAGAACTCTGCCACACAGAGATTATCTACAAAGGAGCTAGTCAGCAAGAACTGTATCAATATGAATAAAAGCCACAAATATTTAAATAGCTTTTTAAACTTTATTAAAACTTCACAAAATATACAGGACCTGAACTCACGTGATCATGGCTCAAAACTCCACTCCAATAATCTTGTAATAGTAAAGGGGAGACCAGACAGTAAACAGTAACAGTAGCAAATGAAAAGGCAAGAAAATGAGATTATGTTGCAACTTGTAGTTAAAGATTTAAAAGAAAACTGCACAGTTGTTTATAGTTACAAAAGACATAATTAAAAAAAAAAAGTCAAGTTGCTTTTCTTAATATTACTGACATGTCAGAATCGGAGGATAAATGTTCCCTGTGTAACCAGTCAAGGAATATTACTATGATCCATGATGCAACTGAATTATGATTATCGTGTTTGTGACAAAAATGAAGAGCATAATTTTTTCCAGAAACTTCAAGAGATTAATAGAGCAACCATGAGATACGACTCTTCACTTAGTCTTCTTCTAACAATTTTATTTTTAAATCAGGGAATCAAAATTGCTGTAAGATTTTTTTTTTTTTTCCTGAGCTGAACTATATATAAAGTATTATGAAACCAGTCTGACAGACTACATCTGCCTCTGCATCAAGACTTACTCTGTCAAGAACAATGTTCTTGTCTCATGCTAGCCGAAGCGACGGAATCAAACGCAGGCCCATTAAGTCCGTGCTACAGCCACCGATTTAAGCACTTTTAAGAAAAGCAAAAAGAACACAAAACTTTTTATTAACACCTTAATGCTGTTTTTTAATATAATATCCATTACTAAGCTTAAAAAAAGAAATTGTTTCTAGTAATTCTGAGGCATAAAGTGCCCATTTTCTCTCTTCTGATTTATGTCATTGTTCTGTTTTTACAGCTTACTGTTGACAGAGTGAGGTAATTCAACTACAATTTTTCCAATGTTTTTTCCCATGTACATGTAATCTACAGCACGGAACACAGACTCCAAGCCAGTGAACTTGCCCTCCGGAGACGCGTCTCCAAAGTCCACCTCACAAACCAGGTCTCCTCTTTCATACATCTCGAGCAAGTGCTTCAGAGCCATTTTGTATTCGGAAAGGTAATGGTTCAAGAAGAAACCCCGGATGCTGGCAGACTTCTTCAATAGTTTTGCTGGCAGCAACTCCGCTTTAATGGGCTGGAGGCCAGTAGGGTTTTGGTAGCCAGCAATAAACCCAATAACTATCAGGCGCCCTTTGGTAGCCAAGGAGTTAAGAGCCAAGTCAAACATCTTTCCCCCAACAGATTCATACACTACATCCACACCTTCGGGGTAGTCCTTCCTAAGAACAGATTCAACATTTTCAGTTTTATAGTTGATCGTACGGTCACAGCCAATGGATTTCAGAAAACCACCCTTTTCATCACTGGAGCAGGTTCCAATTACATGGCATTTTGCCTTCTTTGCAAGCTGCACAGCGAACTGGCCCGTTCCTCCAGCCGCTGCTGTCACCAGAACCTTCTTGCCTTCCGACAGCTCTCCCAGCTCTTTCAAACTGATGTATGCGGTAGCGCCACTTACCATTAAAGTAAGAAACTCGGGTTTCACGGAGGGTAGAGGAACTGCTGCTTTGGCAGGCACAACCGTGTATTCAGCAAAGGAACCTGCTTTCACGTAGGCCACAGCTTGACCCACTGTATAATCAGCGCTAGCACTGAGTCCTAACGCTACCACATCACCGACACCTTCAAACCCTATATCGAATGGGGGTTTAACTGATGCGTCATATCGACCAGCTGAGTAGTTTATGTCAGATGCATTAATGCCGACAAATCTAGAAGAAAACAAAAACGTATTAACGAGATTTATTCCTTACCTTTATTCCTTACCAAGTCTTTGCCGTATGAGAAACCTTCAATTTAAATTCGTGGGATAACTATGAGACTTTTTTCTGATTATTGGTGTATTTGAATAATGACTACACTCCAGAGACTACTTCCATCAGACTTCTGTAGTTTACATTCAGTTACTATAGAATTAAAGATAAATTTGCTAAAAGAAAAAAACAAACCAAATGAAAAAAAAAACCAAACCAAAAACCAACTTATATTTTCCTCAGGTCCATTTGACCAAACTAAGCAAACTAAAAATAATTCTGTACAAGATTAAAGGATGAAAATTAATTGACCACTTTATGCGAGATGTGAAAACACTGAAGAATAAAACCTGCAAAGCGGTAAATATGTGGATTCTGGCAACAAATTTACATTTTTGAATATAATAATACTGTTAATGACTAACGATCATATTAACTATCGATGTCATTTGCAAGGTCATGTTACTGTAGGCAAGTACTTTTTAATTGATGGAGTCACTACAGCAAATTTGCCTTTTGATGTAGCTAATGTCGACGTTAAAATATTTTTCTTTATATAAATTACTTGCAACACATCAAAACAACCTTGCACAGAAGGACTAAAATTATAAGACTGAGTATCAAGTCCTACTGACCTCTAACAGGTGAAAATGGATGGTAATTTTTGTTTTTAGGAAAAGAGAGAGACATTCTCACAACTTGATTAAGCACCAGGAGATAACGCCTAAAAGAAAGCTATGGTCTAGCTTAAACACAAAGAATGTTTTAGTTAACACTTCTTTTTGTTTTTTTAAAGCCATAATAATATTTCTACACAGGAAAGGGAAGAGAGGCCGGGGAAGATTCTGTTAGCTGGAAAATGTAAAAAAGAAACACACACAAGAGAAAACACCAGGACTTTCACTACATGTGGAAGTGACAACCTGAAAGGTGTACCCGATACCACGCAAAAGCTGCAGAAGTATGCAAACAGTGCACTTTTAATTGCTGCAGTTAGCAATGGGCTCAAATCATATGTGTGTGTAGTTTTAAATCGCTTGCACACAGACCAAGGACAACTAAAACCGCTTTGCTCGTTTTGATTTTCTTCATTCTTTATAGCGTGGGGAGCCTCAAACTTTCACCAACGTAATGCGCTACATATAAAAAGACACGAACGTATAAACATATCCATGCATAAAATGGGTGAAAGTGACTGTTGCTCTTTTTAATTCTGCCTTTAATTCACTGCTCAGCCGCAACAAAAAACGCCCGCGTCTTGTTCGGAGGTACAAAAAAATCCCCTACTGCCCTGCTTTAAGGTAACTCCCATACCGGACTGCTAAAAGACGTATAAAAAAAGGTAACGGAGCAGCAGCTTCCGAGGCAGACCGTGCCCCCGGGCGCCAGGGAGAAGGGCTCGGAGCACCGAGGCGAGACGTGCCGGCGCTGCACCAGCCTCCTCCCGCTTTTACACCCCAACTTCTGCGGAGGGGCGCGGAGG